GTGAAAATGTAGCAAGGGACAAAATCCCCACTTTCAATGAAGCTTATGTTTTGCCAACCCTATTTAGCATATTTCTCAAAAATTTAATCAGACTTCTGTGAGTCCCAAATGCAAAACATGGCGTCTAAAATAACCCATATAATGTAACCAGCTTATTTATAAATAGTGTATAGGTGTTTTCCAAAAGCTTTGCAGGTATTAACTCATTAGGTAAACATAACCCAGGAGAGAATGTCTCCATTAAAAAAGACCAAAACTGTGACTGAAAAGCATGAGGAATTTGCGTAAAATGATAAAAAACAAGTACTAAAGTGGTCAGGGGTCTGATTCTGAGTCTACACTCTTGACTGTTATGCAGTAACATTCTTTTGAAGCTTTAATAATAAAAGAGTTTAAGTCAAGTTAGATTAATTTACTCTGAAGGGCAAGCTCGTATACAAATGAGAAGGAAAGATGAATCTATCATTTCTAAAGTATGTTAAGTGAAAAAAAGCAAGGGTAAGAAAAGCAAGGGTAATAAGTACATGATATATCATTTGCTACATTATAGCAAATATCCAATTCGAAATTCTGAAATAAATTTCCCATACAACCAAAATATGATAGGAACTACAACTTAAAAAAAAAGGTTGAAAGTGAGATCAAGTTTCAAATAAGCAATACAAAAGTTACTCTGTTTACGTAAGGTATTAGCCTCAGCAAAGAAAACTAAAAACTGTGTGCACATCCCCATTTTTGGAGTTCTTTCATTCCTTTCATAGACATCTGCTTTTAAAAAGTGACTGACTCCACAGTAGCCGCCATGCTTCCAACTGGACCCCACTGCTTGGGACCAGTCTCATCCAGAAACTGGTCCTGAGTGGAAAACTCAGGTATGCGGGTTTTGCGAGTGAAATCCCCCGGCTTTCATGGAGGCGTGGTTGGGCTACTTCCTCCCACCTCTCTGTCCTTCCAGAGCCCTGGCAGTCATGCACACACCAAAAATCTGCCACCCAATTAAAAATTTAACTCCAGCTGTATAACCCTGTTAAAAATTCTGGACTTCCTGGAGTGCGCAGCCACATTTGCAGCCACCAGATTAGATGGGATGTAGTATAGAGGGCATCCAATCTCAACTGACAAGATATCAACAAAGAAGGCTTAACCTGCAACATTTTAGTAATCTCTTGTACAAGGGGTTAACCGCTCCTTGGTGAGATACACAATCTTCACTTTCTTCTGAAGAAACATTTTTGATCATTCTTTTAGCAAATTGTGACAATACAAAATAAATTGGGCTGGAGCAATAGCACAGCAGATAAGGCATTTGCCTTGCGTGCGGCCGACCTGGGTTCGATTCCTTTGTCCCTCTTGGAGAGCCCAGCAAGCTCCCAAGAGTATCCCACCTGCACAGCAGAGCCTGGCAAGCTACCCATGGGGTATTCAGTATGCCAAAAACAGTAACAAGTCTCACTTCGTGTTCCTGGAGCAAGCAGATGCCATTGTGCTACACTAGTACATGACAGGGACAAATGGAGACGTTACTGGTGCCCACTGGAGCAAATCAATGAGCAACGGGACAACAGTACTACAGTGCTATAAAATAAATTACCGAGTGCCTTCTATGGGGTCAGGCTTAAGGGGTGGTTGGGAAAACTGGAGATAATGGTGGTGGAAGGTGCAATGGTGGTGGGATTGGTTTTGGTATATTGAATGTCTGTAACAAATCAATATCAACAACTCTGTAAACCACAGTGTTTATACAAAGTGTAAGGGGGAAATAAATTATTTAAATTGCTAGCACAAAATAAAATTTAAATTGTTAGAATGCAAGAATATAAATGGCATTATATCTTGAATCAAAGTGTGGGTGTATGTGTTAAAAACCAAGGTGAATAATTATATTGAGAATCAAAACGGTTTAAATTTATTTCTCTCTCACATCATCTTAGTTAAGAATTATAACTAGGACACAGAATATCATGCTGTGTGAAATCAGAGGCAGAGGGAAAAACAGAATGATTACGCTCATTTGCAGGGTATCTGGGGGGGAGGGGGGGAACACACCTAGTGTGCGAATATCCAAAGACAGTGGAAACAAAACAAGGGCCAGGCAGAGGGTCCATGGCAGGTAGCTTGCTACAAATGGGGAGGGGGAGGAAGGGACCTGCCCAACTGTGACAAGGACAGTTGGAAATGATCACCCTGGACATAAACTGGAAGTGATATGCATGGAACCCTTTCAGAAACAGTATTGCACAACACAGTGGCTAAAAAAGAGGGAGGGAGGGAGGGAGGGAGGGAGGGAGGGAGGTGGGGGGAGAAGGAGAGAGGAAGAGAGGAAGAAAGGGAAAGAGGAGAGTGGGGAAAAAGGGGAGAGCAAAGGCAGGCTGGGGGCGGAGGTGGAAAACTGAGGACGAAGGTGGCAGAAAATGTGCACTGTTGAAAAGATGGGTTTTGGAACACTGTGTGACCAAAACCCGATCTTGAACAAATTTGTAACTGTGTATCTCTCTGTGATGCAATTAAAAAAAATTTTTTTATTTAAAAAAAAAAAATGACTCGGGTCAGCCAGAAAGTGCAGGGGATAAGGCTCTTGCCTTGCTGCTGACCACAGGCTGATGTCCATCATCACATATGGCCCTCCCCGCTCCCCCCAGCACCGCCAAAGTGATCCCAGAGCACAAAGCCAGGAGTCTGCCCTGAGCACCAGCAGCAAAAGTAATAGTTAAATTTTTATGTCTTGCTAAATATGCTCGAATGCCGAGCCATCCAAACTCAGACTCACTGACCAAATCTAGATGTACGTCTAACTGCAACAGGGTTTGAACACGTGTTAAGTTGGCCACTCCAGTCCAGGAAACACATTTTGCAAGCCACTCATCTAGACAATTCTCCAAGATCGCTGTCCGCAACAAAAAGGCCACTATGACAATCAATTTCAACCGCTAGAAGAAAGACATAAAGATAGAAGAAAGACTACAATAAAAAAGAACTCTGTCTGGACCCATCCTGTGAAATGCATCCCCCTGACTCTTTAAGACTGCCTACAACACATTCTTTTAAGTAATAAAATATAAATACTTCTCCCTTAGAAAAAGTTTTTTTTTCCTGGAAGCAGGGGACCAGGTAGATTAAGGATATGTTCTCTAACAAGGACACATGATCTTAGAATACTCTATCGCTTGAAGCTTGAGAAGATCAAAAACAAAACAAGAAGAAGAAAAAGAAAAAAACCCAAAACAAGGATCCGCTAGAAATAGCTGCCCAGGTCATAAGTTTTTGTCTGTAGGAATCACCCCATACCCAGGGATTGCCCACAGTAGTCCTCTCCAGACTGGGCTAGTCTCGTGGTCCTTCAAAATGCATTCTCCTTCTCAAGAATCTGACACTCGAAAATAAAATCTGAGAGAGGCTACTGCCAAGTTATGTGATGAGCAAGGCTCTCGCCCAAGCTCCCAGTACCTACTACTGAGGTCTCAGTTGTCCAAAGACCTATTCACTGAGGGTTTGCTCTCACTCCCTTAATTTTTGGATGGACTATACTAAACTGTCTTCCAAGAAGTTCCTTCTCTACCTGCATCACTCAGAACTATTTATTTGCAGTAACACTGCAAATGCTTTATCTTTTCTATAGAGCGCTGTGATAAATCTGTGCAAATTCAAAGCTTTATAACTTTAACTGCAACAGAAAACTGTTATTGGGGCTGGAAAGACTGCTTCCAAGGTTGGAGTACACTGTCTGCATGGGAGAACCCCCAATGTGACCCACTGCGTGTACGATATGGTCCCCTCACCATCATGATAGGGATCCCCAAAGGTGAGCTAGAAGACAGAGAACAGGTACGGTCCCCAAACACAAAACAAAACAAAACAAAATTTAAGAAAATAACAACTTGGGGCATTTATTTCCCACCTCCAAGCTAATATATGATCCATACAATGAATTTAAAGCAAACAAACCACATTTTTGGCCGTACAATATGAATTCCATCTCATATTTACTTTCAGAAAAGTCCTCTGACATGTAGCAAAAAAAAAAAAAAAACTACCACTTTTTTTTATTCAATGGATTTAGATGTCTATTATGTGCCAGTATCATGCTACTGGAACACAGCATTGAATGTAAAAACAGATTCTTGTTTTTAAGTTTTCTCTGTTTTGAGATAGGGTGATAGGGAAAAAAAAAAAGCAATCAAGAAAATTGCCAGATACTTAGTGCTATTACAGAGAACTAAAGTGATGTGAAACAAGGAGAAACCAGACAATTTTTAGGTAAATAGTCAGGGGATGCCTAACTACTAATGTCAAGAAGTGAGTGAAGTCAGTCAAGATGGGGCCCAGCTAACAAAGGTCCTCACACTGGACTTGGCTAGATGACTCATGTTTCAAGAGTCAACATGACAACAGTGTTTGGAGAACGAGGAAAATAACTTAGAAGTTCCGAGAGACAAAAAGGACCACGTGCATGCAGGGCTTTTAACCAAAGGCAAGGCACTGGATCTATTTATGAAGCAGCTGGTATACTGGTACCTGGTAACAAGGTTATTCACAAGATGCTTAAAGAGAACAGTGAGGCAATGAACTAAGATGGGGGGAAAAAATTACCAACAGCAATTATCATAAACTTCTAGAGCTGAAATGAATCTTACTATCACAGAATAAAAAGAATGATAATGGTCCTGTCTGTGGCAGCTCTGAGGTTAGATCACAGTGGAAGAGAAAGTCATACTCAGCGCTCCCTCACACTGAGTGCAAAGGTCTTTCCAAAATTCTTAAATCAATATGAAGCCTAAAGTCAAGTCTTTGCTGCGTACACTTCCAGTAGGGACAGAACAGCATCAAATGAAAACATAATTAGAATTTTTTATAATTTTGCATGTCATGATATTCACACCACCAGGCCCATGTATGAAAAAACTTTCAAGTGGCTGGCAATGCTTAAGTATTTACCACCACATCTCTCCTCCCAAAGCATGTAAAATAGGAAAGAAATGAATGAAACAACAAAACATACTTACATCTGGGTATTCTTTTACAGGCACATAAAGTTTCTCTTGCAACTGAACAATAGGTCCCACAGCATCAGGCAACTCTGCACTCCTTTTCTCTGTACTGCCATTTAATGTGTCATTGTACATGTCTTTCCGTACTCTGCTAATTTCTGTTAAAAGTAAAAATTTTAAATGTGTTAGACCAAAAAAAAGTGTTCTTGCTAATCCAGAAAAAAAAAAAATATATATATATAAGGGACAGGGGGGGATTTCGGAGATAAGGTGCTAAAACTCCACAATGCAAAGAACGATTGACCTATACTGTCATTTCCAGACGAAGTCTGTATTTAGAAGTAACCATAAGTTTAAACTGCTCCACTAGAAATCAAACTTATACCAACAAAATCATCTATTTTATTAAAATTAACTTCAAATCCTGAGATACTATCCACTATAATATAGACCTATTATCTTAATTTTGCCATGTCAGCCATTCCAAATGATAGGCTCAGCTCAATTATAAGAATGCTTGTCAGACAAGCCAATCTGAAAGCTTTTATGCTCCAAAAAAAAAAAAATCTGGCTGAAGGAAACTTATACTTCTCTGTCTCTTTTAGGTCTTTGGGGGACAAACAGAGACACTCAATGAGTACAGACAGTAAGTCCAACAGAACTTGGTGTGACGCACAATTTTAGCAGTTAAGACTGCAGAAATGGAAGAGATGTCTTAAGGCAGGTAGAGAGAAGCAAGGACTGAAGGAAACCAAGGGAAAGCAACATCTAAGTGTTGCTGAGAAAAGCTCCAAGAGGAACGCAAGGGAGGTCGACTAGGAGAAGTGTGAAAGGACAGGAAAACAATGCCAAATTCAGGGACAGGAGGATCAATGGCGTCAGACTACAGCACAGGCCTATGAAGGTACCACTTCATGACAAAAAAGTCACCAGTGGTGAGTTAAGCTTCAAAGAAAGCTGGAACTACAAGGGGTTAATGAATTAAAAACAAGCAAAGGTACCAGAAGTCGATAATCGTAATTTTTTTAAATAAATGATCATGACAGATCTTACGATCTTAAGATCGCGCTACATCTTATCATCTCATTCCTACTTTGGACAACCTGGCAGGCTACCGAATGCAACCTGCCCACACGGCAGAGTCTGGCAAACTCCCCGTGGCGTCCCCAATATGCCAAATACCAGTCACAAGGATGGGTCTCATTCTCCTAACCCTGAAAGAGCCTTGAGTATGGCACTTTCCAAAAAAAAAATCTCAGGGCTAGGACGAAGAGACGTTACTGGGGCCTGCTCGAGGCAATCGACGAATAACAGGATGGTCGTGATTGTTGTGAAGACAGAGCTAAGACTTAAAAACACTTCTTTAAAAAAGAAAGTATATGACAAATCAATTTAAATCACAGTCCCGCACAAAAAAATTCTCGTAAGAATTAAATGCTCCAGGTCTCAAAGCACCAGTACAGCGGGCAGGGTTCTTGCCTGGCCATGCACTGACCCAGGTTCAATCCCCAGCACTCCACATTCCTTCCCAACCCCCAGCACAGCCTGGAGTGATCCCTGAGTGCAGGAGCCAGGAGCAACTAACTCCTGAGCACAACTGCATGTGAACCCCTGCCCTCAAAAAGAAAAATGAAATGCTACAGCACAGACACTATCATTGGCCCTACTGTCTCGGTTGCATTATTACATGAGCCGAGTGCCTCTATCACCTTCTCCCCACACTACAGACCCTAATTTCTTCAACTGTGGGCCACAACCTTGTATGAGCTTATGTAGCTGAATGGGGAGATCATTTTAAAATGAAGAAGGATTTATTATCTACAAACATTTTATTTGTATGCCTATTTTCTACACCTGTATGCCTGGGGTTATGTAAAAATTTCTTGAGCAAAAAAATAAAGAAAAAAAAAGTTTGGGGGCTGGAGCTATAGCACAGCCGGTAGGGTGTTTGCCTTGCACATGGCTGACCTGGGTTCGATTCCCAGCATCCCATATGGTCCCCTGAGCACCGCCAGGAGTAACTCCTGAGTGCAGAGCCAGGAGGAACCCCTGAGCATCGCCGGGCATGACCCAAAAAGCAAAAAAAAAAAAAAAAAAAAGATGTGCACTATGAACTTCAGTACTTACCTTATCTTAAATTAAGGATAGCAAAATTCTCAAATCAAGGTTTCAATGACCAAAGAATAATTTAAATGATGCAATTCATTAAATTACGGTAAGTAATTAACCGAGAAGCACTGAAAAAACTAATTAATTAAGATTACCAGGTCTGCATCTAACCTTTAGCCCACTGCACCTGGGATCCATCCAAGAATTTTTGTATTCTTCTGACAAATTTCCTCTTTCATTTTAACTTAAAAAATAAAATTATACATGTCCTCCTTTAGCTCAGGTTTTTATAGAAAAAATATTTTCATATTAATTTGATTAAATTTGTTTCCTTCATAAAGTGCTAGATTCGTTCTGTGAATCTGTAGGAACATGACATAAAAATTCAGCACAAGCATAAAAGTAAATTAAAAATACGAACTGCTTATATAGATGGAAACATACCAAATGCAGAGACCACCATCACATTGTAAATAGAACATACCAAGATAAAGTAGAATTTGTAAGAGAGAGAGAGAGAGAGAGAGAGAGAGAACTACAAATGACCAAATGACAAAAGTCAAATAAGAGAAGTACATGATATACACATAGCACTGCACTGTAGCACTGCCCTCCCGCCGTTCACTGATTTGTTCAAGCGGGCCCAGTAACATTTCCACTGTGAGACTTGTTGTTACTGTGTCTGGCATATCGAATACATCGTGGGTAGCTTGCCAGGCTCTGCCGTGCGGGCGAAATGCTCTCAGTAGCTTGCCGGGCTCTCTGAGAGGGGCACAGGAATCGAACATGGCTTGGCAGGGCCGGCAGCTTGCAAGGCAAACGCCCTACCGCTGTGCTATTGCTCACATAGGCATACCAAAAAAAAAAAAAAAAAAACCAGTATCCGTCCTATACCTACTCATATAATATAATGGAAAAAAACATCTATTCATCTATAAACATCTATAATTCTGCAGTAAATGAAAATTCCATAGGATGCTGTTCCCCATCCCGACTCCATCTCCCAGACTAGGACCTGGGACAGTGAACGTTGCTCAACTAGCAAATGAAGATTTTAAGTAGACGGGTGGGTGGAAAAAAGAAAAAGTACTGCAGATACTGCCTGTCTTACATGTGGCTGACCCAGGCTGGATCCTTGAGATCACATGGTTCCCCAAGTCCCAACAGGAGTGATCCCTGAGCACCAAGCCGGGAGTAAGCCCTGAGCACAGCTGGATGGAGCCCAAAACCAACCAACAAAAAAGAACACTTCAGGGTCTGGGTCATCAAACTTAACGAGTCATTATTCCTGCTCAGGAAGTTAGTCTCACTAGGAAAGAAAGATACTGGGAAGTTGCAGAACAGTTAGAGGCTCGGACCAGAGATGGTCGACATTCTACAAAAGCACGAAGTCAGTTCCATCGATCCTGATGTGGGGTTTCAGAATCAAGAAATGTGGTTTAGAATCAAGGAAAGTGTCGAGAGAGAAGAAACTGACCTTTATTTTCTAATGATGAAGAATGTATGAGGCAAAAGGAGAAGCTATCATCAGAAATCTTAGTTTTCTTCAGATTAAAAATCTTTCTGCCACATCTCATTCTCTAAAATATATCACTCATTTTAATTATAGAACACAAATTATATACAAGACAGTACTGATGAGAATGAAAAGATGACTCAGACATAATTCTAGTTCTCAAGGAATTTGCAGTCTTACTCACTGTGGAATCCAACCAGCTGAGTAGTGCTTTTATCAACAGTACTTTTCTAGCCAGGAAATCATTAGCACTTCTTGGCATGTTATTTACAACACTCAAGTTAGAACAGGTTCTGATTCCAGTCTGAACAGTAACTGTGATTTTAGGTAAGTATCTTACTTAACCTCTCAATGTCTATACTGTAATTAGAGGTTGCTAGCTCACAACTGAACCCATTCGTTTTCAGCCATAGTATATTCCAGGAATCAATCTATTATTTTACTCCAAAACCCCCTGTTAAAAACAAAACTAACAAAAAAAAAGTGTATACAAAGTTTTGCTTTCCATGCATCCTCAAAAACAGTCAAAGTACCACATAAAAAACAAAAAAAGAAAATCACGAGTCTGGGCATGGATAATTCTCTTAATCCTTCCTAAGTGGTGGTTTACAGGTGCTGATTTATGAAAAGCAGGAAAGCACCGTAATTAATACGGAGTGGGGGGAGGAGTCCGCAGCCGACACTCTGGTAGAGGCTGTAGTGTTAGAAGACTGTATCCGTGAAACCCTACCGTTAACAATATTGTAAGGCACCGTGCCTAAGATTTTTGAAATGTTTTAATAGGGGTGCTATTTTCCTTGTATTAAACACCGCATAATAATGCATGAATGATTATCTGTCCATAACACAGTCCTCAAAAAGTCCAAACCAATTATTCAGTCATTTCATAAAAATTCCCAAGAACTCCACGATAACCTCAATATCAAAATAAATTTATCTTAGACTTCAACTTCTAAAATGATACAAATTTTAATGAACCAAATCCTCCATACATTCTTCCATTAGCCGCCACTCGCATACTCAAGTTCAGTATTAGTCCGAAAGTCTCTTACGTAGAACAGCCCTACAAAAACCTGCAAAGTTCTAGCATGTCTACGCATCTCCTCCCAAAGCTATGGAAAGGTACAGTTGAGTTTTAGGGCCAGGGACATGGCCGAAAGCGCCAGAGCTAAGGCCTCGAGCACTGGGGCTCCAGGTTCACTCCCCAGCACAATGCGGTCCACAGAGCGCCACCAGATGTGACCCGCAAGTGCCAGGCCCGGAGTGAGACCTAAGCATCAACTGATGAGAAACTGAAAATCAAAATCAAATACAGGACCAGGGAGGTAGTGGACAGTTAGTGGCACGTCTAGCAGGCACCCTACCCACTCAGTCCTCATTACCATATGCTCACTAAACCAAGGGTCACCTTTCGGAAAGGCTCTGAAAGCACTGCTGGTGTGGCCCCAGAAACCTGAGCTGGGTCCCAGGTGCTCCCCAGAACAAGGCACTAAGTGGCACCACATCCTCAGGTCCTCACGTGGTACTACAGGG